CCCGAGGCCGGCGGCGTCTGGAGACGCCGGCACAGCTCAGACGCGGCCGCTCCCGCCGCGCGCGAAGAGTCGCGGAAGCGGCCGACCGGGCCTGGAAGTGAGAGGGTGGCGTTTTCACATCTCACAGAGTAGTGCTTCAAGGTAAAAACTAAGTTTCGTTACAGGAAAATGTACTTTTAACCCTAGAAAGCACCTCTGACTTCTCTCTAATTGGTTTGTTTTTCTTCTTCTCCTTGTCAGAAAAATTATCTGAAATTTTGAAGTAGGGCAAAGGAGATTACGGGATGTTCTTTTGGTGATGTTCCTCTGGGTTTGCAATTTTGATTTTCCGTTGGGTGGTTAACATGTAGTTTTTGTGAGTTGTTTGTTGTTGTGTAGTTGTTTTAGAGACAGGGTCTCACTCTGCCTCCCAGGCTGGCGTCCAGTGATCCTATCACAGCTCACAGCAACCTCAAACTCCCGGGCTCAAGCGATCCTCCGGCCTTAGCCTCCCAAGTAGCTGGGACTACAGGTGCACCATCAAGCCTGGCTAATTTTTAAGTTTTCTTTAGAGATGGGGTCTCACTATATTGCCCAGACTGGTCTCAAACTTCTGGCCTCGGGAGGCGTGATCCTCCTGCCTCAGCCTCCCGAAGTGCTAGGATTACAGGTGTGAGCTACTGCGCCCTGCCAATAGGTAGATTTTTGTCTGGTAGAGATGTAAATAGTTTCTGTCTGGTAGAAAAGATACTGCCCAATATCTCAGTTCCTGGACCTGCAGGACTTTAGCTAGTTTTGTATTGAATGAACAATCTTATCCTAATGTTCCTTTACTAAATTACTTATAAATACCTACCTTCTCAGGGGTTTTTTGAACCAGCCATAACATCTTACTGGTTCCCTCATTAATTACTGAATTAAATAAGATCTTTGATTCATGTTCATTTTATGACTTTTTTTGTTTTATAAGTTTTTGAAAAATACTTTAGCATCATTATAGTCCGTCTCCCAGACTTAATAACTCAGTTGACATGCATAAATAAGTAAATAAACAGTCTAGCCCCTCCTGTTAGAACCTGTATGTGGGTACTTGTCACTCTTTGTTCTTGGTTGATATCTCAAGAGAGAAAAGGTCCCCCTTGATATCCTGTTTCAAGTAAGTCTTATTATCATCATTTTATCAGCAAAGAAACTGAGGTTTAGAGAAGTAAGTTGCCCAAGCTCACACAGTAGGGCAGCACAGGTAGAATGCAACTCCAAGCCAGCATGTGTCCCGAGGCTTTGCTTTTGCATTGCCCACAGAAATTTCTATACTACTAGTCTGAGCCAAGCATTAAATTGAATTTGAAGGAATAAGCCAACATAAAGCAACCTTTCAGCACATACACACATGCATATACACGTGTGCACACACACAAAGAAAAGAAAAAATAGAAAGGAAAAAACACCACTCAATCGCAAACAAAACAAAACTCTAACCCCATAAAATAATAACAGCTTCTTTCCATGTTTCATCCACAGACACCCTAAATGCATGACCGACACTGAACTTACTTCCTTTCTCCCTCCCCAGTCTTCTCTTCCTGAATTTTGTTGGTGGTAATATCACCCAAATATCCCCCTAGATTAGGAACCAGGGAGCAATATTTTTACTTATTTCTTGCTAACCTTCCTCTCCACTGCTGTCAAACTATTAGCCTTAGAAGTTGGAATGAATACTCCTCAGTAAGTCCTTTCCTTTCTGTTTTGTCTGCCAATGCTTAAGAGTGGTCTTCAGAGGTTTTTTTTGTTTTGTTTTGTTTTTTTGCTAAAATATCTCGTAAAATATTTATGGAAAACTATGTAACTCTCAAACATTATCAGACTTTCCTCTAAAATGTTTCATCATAATTTCAAATATTTGCAAATGATCTAATTTCCAACCTATTGTCAACACTGACATTTGAAAAGAAAAGCATTTTGTTAACCTATTGTTACTCTTTAAAGTAAATCAAATCTAATTTTAAAATTTAAAATCCAGTAAAATCTAAATACCAGTGTTGATACTCATCATCATCCATTTAAAAAAATACGTTTCAACACAAACCATTGGCAAGATTGGATGTCCTGTGAAAACATTTGAAACTCGACCCATACCTCGCATTTTTCATAAGAATTAACTCAAAAGTATTATACACCTAAATTTAAAACCTAAAACAATAAATATTCTAGGAGAAAACATAAGAGAAAATCTCTGTAACCTTGGGCTATCCAGGGATTTTAGATGTGACGCCAAGAGCACTAACCATCAAAGAAAAAAATTGATACATTAGACTTTATCAAAATAAAAAATTTTACTCTGTCAAAGACACTGTTAAGAGGATAAAAAGACAAGCTGTTGACTGAGAAAAAATATTTGTAAGTCACTTATGTGGCTAAGGACTTGTATCTCTCAAAATTCTATAATAAGAAAACAACTCTCTGCAATAAAATGTTGTCAAAATATTTGAACACTTCAAGAAAGATGTATGGATGACAAATAAACATATAAAAAGATACTCAATGTCATTAAGGAAATGAAAATTAAAACTACAATGCAATACTATTTTACAGCTAGTAGAATGGCTAAAATAAAAAAAAAAAATCTGACAATCCTAAGTGCCGGTGAAGATATGAAGTTAGTGGAACTTCCATGAATTGCTGGTGGGAATGTAAAACCACACAGCCATGTAAAATGATACAACAAACAGTTTGGGTTTCTTTTAAAGTTAAACACATACTTGCTGCGTGACTAAGCAATCCCATTTCTAGATATTTATTAAAGTGAAATGAAAACTTACGTTCACACAAAGAC